AGAACTTGCCTATAGTGCTTCCTCTACTCCACTATCTTGGCTCAGCCCCACTGCTAAGCTTAACCAAATACGTCTCCTTGCCTTATACTATTTTAATACTTTTTAGTTCACTGAACCAATCTATTTCCATTGTTGGGTCATAGTCTCCTGTATTTTGTTGTATGCATAGAATAAAATCCTCCTTGCATCCTTCCTCTCTGCAGAGACCCTCAAAGGCCACAGTTTGTTTGAGAAGCAACATGATGTAATGGAAATAGTGTGAGGCACAAGGGTAGGAAAGATTTAGGTTTGAATATAGCCCTTAGTAACTGCTAGCTTTGTGACCATGGGCAAATTCACTAAACCTCTCTAACTCCTTAATTTCCTTATGTGTAAAATGGGGACAAAGACAGTTGGATGTTTTTATTTTAATTTTTTTATTGTTTTTTTTTCTTTGCAATATGACTAATATGGAAATGTTTTGCATGACTACATGTGTATAATTTATATCAAATTGCTTGTCTTCTTAAGGAGGGGAAAGAGGAGGGAGAGGATTTGGAACTCAAGATTCTAAAAAATGAACATTAAGAGTTTTTGTTCACATGTAAATGAGAAGAAATAAAAATTAAATGTAAAAAAGGGTGTGTAGACCATTTCCATGAAAATATTTACAGAGTTAAGCAAGCAGGCACATGTATAGTTGCTGAAATCTTCTGTTGCCTTTTTTTTTCTTTTGAATGAAAGATTATCCGTGATCTTTTCCACTCTTAGAATCTTCCCCTCTGGGGTATCTTGGGAATTGATCCCTGAATCAATCCCTGATTTAAAATTTTGTTATTTCTAACATGGATTTTTTTTTCTATATTATTTTGGTCAGATTTTGTCAGTTTTCTTAGCTTTAAGGCTTAAATGTCTTTGCCATTTACTCACCTAGTATATTGAATCCTTTGGCAATCCACTCTTGATACCCTTTGGTGATTACATGAGCTTCCATGGATTCAGTCATCATTTCAATGCAGAAGATTCCCATATCTATCTATCCAATTTTTGTTATTCTCTTGAACTCAAGTTCCACATCACCAACTGCCTGCAGGACATCTTCATCTGAACATTTCACAGGCATCTCAAACTTTTGTTCAACATGGAATTATCTTTTCCCCCAAACCTATCCATCCTCCGAACTGATGTTTAGAGAATCACCATTTTTCCACTCACCTGGATTCAGAATATTGGCATCATTCTTCTCTTTTTACTCTCCCTCACCCCATTCGTCATCTACTTTCATGAAATTTCTCTTGGAGGAAACAGTCTGTGGAAGACAGTGGGGGAGAGGGTAATGAGGGGTGCAGAGTGAGAAGTAAGCTGACTCAGAAGGCTGTTGAGTCCTCTGAATATCAGTGAGTAAGTAAGACCCTCTCAATGCCTTCTTTCCCAAAGTCATTCTAATATTTTCCTAATTGGCCTCCTTGCTTTCATTCTCTCCTTTCAACAATCTATCTCCCACATAGCTTTCTAAAAAACAAAATCTTCCTAAATCTGTTGTTTTTTTTTTAAATTTTAAGCTTTTATTAAAGCTAAAGTCTTAACGATGTCTTTCCCCGCTTCAAGAATTTTGGTGGCTCCCTAACACCGCTAAGGCAAAAAGGTTGGCATTTAAAGTCATCACCTTTTTTCTCCAGTTTACCTTTCCAGCCTTATTTCACACTAATCCCTTTTATATGCCCTATAGTCTAGCCAGCTTTTACCTACTTGCTATTCCCTGAAAACCTGATTTCTCCAGTATGCCTGGAATGCACTCTGTCCTTATCACGTCTTAAAATCTTTAGCCCAATTGACATCACTTCTTAAGGGAGGCCTTTTCTGATTTGTGTCTCCTCTTTTCAGTTGTTAGTGCCCTTTCTTCAAATTATTTTATATTTACTTACGCTGTAGATCTAACTTATATAGATTTTAGCAAAGCTTTTGATAAAATATCTCATACTATTCTTTTGGAAAAGAAGGAGATATGGATTAAATGATATTACCATTACATGGATCAGAACTGGTTGAATGGGTAGACTCAAATAGTTATTAATGGCAGGTCTTCAATGGAGAACCTCATGGATCTATGAGTATATCTCATGTTTTGTAATATTTTTATCATTAATGGATAAAGGCACAGATGGTATGTTCATCAAATTTGCAGATGACACAAGATTGGGAGAAAGAGCTAACACAGTGGATGACAGCATCAGTATCCAAAAGGATCTTGACAGGGTAGAGCATTGAGCTGAACCTAATAGGATAATACTCAAAAGGGATAAATGTAGGCCAGCGCTTGGATATAAAAAAATTAACTTCACAGAGTGTAAGGATGATAAGGGAGATGGAGGGTGAGGGAGAGTTGTGAGATTTCAGCTGCTCTGAAAAATATGAGGGTTTCAATAGACTGTAAGTCTAATATTAGTCAGCAGGGTGATGTGCCAGCCAAAACAGCTAATATGATATTGGGCTGCATTAAGAGGGCTGTAGCTTCTAGGAATCCAGGGAGGTGAGAGTTGCATTGTGCTCTGCCCTCATCAAACCTCATCTAGAGCATTATGTTTAGTTCTCGACATACTGGTGTGAGGACATGGACAAGCTGGAAACAAGATGAAGGCAACCAGCATGGTGAAGGGCATTGAGTCCATGACATGACAATCACCTGAAGGATTTGGGCATGTTTATCCTGGCGAAAAAGACCTGGGGGGAAAGGATAACTTACTAAGTATGTGAAGAGCAGTCACGTAGAGGAGGGTCTCACACTTGTTAGCCCTAATGGACAGAACAAATAGCAATGGGTAGACGTTGCAGGGGAAAATTGAGACTTCATGACAGAGGAAACTTCTTAACAATTTGAGCTGCCCAAAAGTAGAGTGGGCTCACTTGTGGGCCTTCAAGCAGAGGATAGATGACTTTTGTGATATACTGTAATGGGAGATTTCTCTTTACACATGGGTTCAAACTAGATGAAGCTTAAGTCTCTTTGTAAGGGGACTGATTATCCTGCTGACTATGCCAAATGTGAGGGGGCAGATCTGTTTTGCCCTAATTATGTCAATTGTAGGGTGTGTACCCTTTGAGGGAATACTGAGATACCAAAGAAAGGGGCTTATATCAGTTTGGTTATTAACAGATATTATTAGGGCTGACTAGGGGAGCATACTCAAAATAGCTTAGTTGCCCTGGACAACAGCAGGACTATGTAACATTGTGGATGGCTGCACCAGCCACAGGCCAGGTCACATGTTACATAGAAATAGAACAAAGAAGGCATAGTGCCAGGATAGCCCAGGATCATGTGCAAGTCTTCCCATGGAGAGCTGGAGCTTCTCTTGCTTTGACATTTACTCAAGGTAGTTTACATTTTCTGTGCCATCACAGGCGTCACGTTGTCATTCTGGCCTATCACTGTACACACTTCCAACTCTCAAATTCAACTGTGTCCACCACCCACAGTGCTGACCCACTCTATGACGTACAAGTAAGTGTGAGGCTTCTGTGCAGAAGCTAAAAGCTTTGAAAAAATTATTTGGATCAAAAAGTCCACCCCATGACAAAGCATAGGTTTTTCGTTTGGGGGGATTTTTAAAGTCAAAGCCATGAAGATGGGAACACTTCTCTGATTTAAATCTTTTGGAGGCAGGTGGAAAGAGTGCAGGAGAACCCTTGGTTCAAATCCCAGCTCTGCCATTTACTATCTGTATTAACCTTATGCAAGTCACTTAGGGCTACTGAATCTGTTCCCACATTTAGAATATGGGGGTAATATTTGTCATAACTTGCAGGGTTGTTGTGAGGAAAGTACTTTTTAAACTTATTAAAGAAGCTGTCACTTAAAGGGAAGCCATTGCAAAATAAGATAATCTTTTCCCAGAGAACCTTAAAAACACATTTATTTACCATTAAGATGAAATTCCTCTTCTAAAGACTCAACATCTTATAGAAGTGCCCAAGACTCCTGAAGGCCCAGGAATTAGACTATGTCCCTGTTGTCTGATGACCAGCCTAGATATGTGTGCAGAGCTCGCTCACCACTAGGTGGGCAACCAGGTGACTTTCCCAACACTCCAAACAAATACAGAATACTCTTCAATCTTGTATGGCTCCTTTCTGTTTCGACAGTGGCAGGAAGCAGGGAGGAAAGAGTGGGCCTAAGAATCACAATTCTTAGCCCCTCGACAATTTAGCCACGAGGAGTTAATGTGCCACTTTTCTCTGACAACTGTTTGTACTACCAGACAAAAGCACTGAACCATATTCCTTAGTTATTTTGTCATTTTAACAGTCCACCAAGCATAAAGGCATTACTGATAAATGGAAGGCTCACAGGTTCTCAGAAGTAAATGAAATTAGTTTTAGAATGTGTAGCTCCACCAACAGTTCTATTAGTGTGTCAGTGTTAATGACACTTGGTGATTTTGATTCAAAAGTGTGCTCAGGACAGTGAAAACTTGGAAGATTAGGTTCAAGATTAAAGAATGAAAAAAGCTGAAAGACTTGGGTAATCAGTGGTACCAGGATTCAGACTAAAGTCTGCCGACTCAAAATACATTGCTCTTTACAGTCAACCATACACAAACGTCCATCCATCTGTGATCCCTCAGATACTTTTGCCCCTCCCATCTTCCTGGATCACCTTGCAGATCTCTAATTATGCAGCTGCTCCAGGTTCCAAGTACTTATTCCTTTGTTATGCGTACATGACATTCACTTTGAACTTGGCACCTGATCCTGAGAGATAATTTTAATTGAGACATCATATAGATTAAAGTCTTAAAGAGTATTTGATGATTATAATTTTACTCTTCATTGGAATACTGCATTAAGAAAAATTGAAGTCTATTTTAAAAAATTTATCAAGGAAAGTTTTCAAACATAGTTCTAAGTAGTAATTTCCAAACCATCATCACCCCAAAACGCAGTCATACCCCCAAGAGCAGATTTTTAAAGTTGTAAGGATTTGGCTTTGAAAACTTTTATTTTTCTTTTAATTTGTTGAGTATAAAGTTATTCTTTAACAGCCAAAAAAAATACACAAATTCAGACAAAGAGCATAATTCACATACAAAATGTACATTTTAAACCTGGAACAGGTCCATTTTACTGCAGATTAGTTTCCCTGTTCTCTTAACAGGCAGCTTCAATACATTAAGGTCTCAGAGCATACAAGAGCCAAACAGCAGTCTATATTGATTGGAATATTGCTCTCTGAACATGACTACATTCAGGTTTATTAAATATATCCTCTTCTGTTTCTGGAGTAAGCTGGAGATTATCTTTGACTGGAGAAAGTGGCTTTTTACAGGAAGGAAGCTTTTCAGAATTTCTGCAAAATACAAGAACATGATCATATGACAATTTAGACTTTTAGAGTGGAGGGCAACAAATGACTTTAAAAGGATATTTCTCAGTTGGAAAAATAAATGGATACAAATCGGGTAAAAGTAATTTTCCACTCAGATCCACAAATTGTAGTTTGATTCATCTGATTCACTGGTAGAGTCGTCCTCACTGTGAACCTACACATTTGGTTTGCTTCTCAGAGCCATTGCCCCTCGAGTTTACCCTCCAATTCAGTTTCCTTGGGAAACAGCACACACTACCTGGCACAGAATGGCAGGTGTACACAAGGGGCTCTTGGTTCTCTTTCCATTTAAATAGTGCCATGAATCTTGCTTTGGGCTAGTTGTCTAGGCATTATTTTTTTACCCTCTTTCTTTACATCTGTCATTCTTTGTGTCAGTTTCTATTACTAGAGGAAGAACACAGGTACAATGGAGGAACTGGCCGCGGAATTTCACTGAGAGAGGGAACTCCTGGTTGAGGAAGTACTCACAACCAGTGCAGGTCAGCACCTTCACTGTAATTTAGTCTCACAGTTGTTTAGACTTGAACTGAGAGGTTAAGTGCCCAGGCCAGTATGTGCCATAGGCAAAACCTAAAACTAGGTCTTCTTGGTTCTGAGGTGAGCTCTGTATGTTACACACTGCCTCTCCAATACATGTGAAAACACACAATTTTAGAATGAAGGTAGCAAGTTATTTTCATGGTAAGTCTACACATGCTCAGCATCAGAAAGGTTCTTCTAAAATATTAGAAAAAGGTTTATATCTGCTAATCTAGTGTTAGAGTCCATAAAATGTGAGGTGAAGTGGAAGGCAGTGATTAATGAAGTTTGCATTATTTGTCACAGCAATAAGATATAAATATAATTTTATATTTCCATAGTACTCTTCCTTTCTTGGTGTTTTCACATTTCAGTATGTCTGACTCTTCGTGACCCCAGTTTTGGGATTTTCTTGGCAAAGATACTGGAATGATCTGTCACTTCCTTCTCCAGTTCATTTTCTAGATGAGCAACTGAGGCAAACAGGGTTAAGTAACTTGTCCAGGGTCACACAGCTAGTAAATATCTGAGACCAAATTTGAACTCAGGGAAATGAGTCCTCTTGACTTGAAGCCCAGCACTCTATCCACTGTGCAACCCAGCTGCACCATAAGAAAGGGAGAAGAAGCATTAATGATTTTGTGCCCTAGGTTTCATCTGGTCTATAAAGACTATAAGTGATCTGCAAAAGGTTAAAAAGAACCAGGATCAGGAGTCAAGTTTTTGACAGCAATCTTTACCTAAATGGTAGGGCCACTATAGAAGTTGAATTTGTATTCCTCTCAAGTGCTTCCTAGAAGAAAAATAAATTTTCCTAACAACAAAAGGAAAGGGACAAAATACAATCAAGGGTTAGAAGATACACACTTACTTCTTAAATTCAAAATTTTTCCAGAGTTCATTGATTTTGATCTGTAATCCTGGCTTGTTTTCAGCATCGTGATGATTTCTCTTCTGCACACTTGTGAGTTTCTTGCTTAGTCCACTGACTTTGGCTGGGACTAGTGGCTTGATCTTATTTGTAGAAAGAGATCCCACCGAACTGGATTTAGAGAGCCCAAGAGCCTATAGTTTTAAATGCCACATAATATTAGGAATAACTCCTTCCTAAATCTATAACTATCTTTAATATATTTCATACTATACTTCACTGGCTAGCACAGGGACAAAATGTATTTCATAATCTGTATGCAAGACCCCCACAATTGTTTGTAAGTCCTACGGAAGTCAAGTTAATATTTTACATATTGTTTTGTTTTAAATGGCATTCTAATGATTCATTTTACTTGACTACAAATTTTAAAAGGCAGCATTCATTAGGTCTTTGCAAATTTCCCAACAAATGGGATTTCAAATTATATCTGAGATGGAGACAAAAAAAAAATAACATAGTAGACTACTCCAGAAAGAATAACTTAACAAACACAAGATGTCACTGTTCTCTTAGGAAAGGAGTACTTCAGGGTTAGGACTTTAGTATTGCATTCATTTAATATTTTGCTAAAAAATAAATTCATCAAAGCTAAACATAATCATCACTACCAACAAACATTTATTGAGTACCTACTGTGTATAAGATGGTACATTAGACAATGGAGAAACAAAGAGGCATAAAATACGATCCTTGCCATGAGGATTTACTCTAACTGGGGAAGACAGGATACACATAAATATAAAAAATAAAGAGCATGTTTTGCCTCGTATCGCCAAGTGCAAAATAAGTAGTACAGACAAGAAATACTAAAGTTCAGAGGAAGGAGTGCTTTTATATCTAAAGGCTGGGCAGTCAAGAAAGAAGTAGGACTTACACTGGGCCTTGAGAAAATAAGACAGACAACAAATGAAAAGAGGACCTTCCAGATAAGAACAGAATGAGGAAAAATTCAGAGGTGGGAATATAAGACATTCCTGAAGAGCAACAAGTAAACTAACCTGACTGAAACAGAAAATAGTGAGAGGAAAGAGAGGTAGATAAAATTGTGGCAGGTGTTGGAGAGAAATGATTATCAAGAACCAATTATGAGGCAGATCCAGGCTTTTTTCCCCTGTCCTATTTCCTTGTTCCGAGTCAAGCCTTTGAAAGACACTGGTGACTTCTGCCAAAAATTCACCCCTTTGAGATCTTACATAGGTGAATTCTTGCCCACTGTCTTCTACTCAAGTTTGGGTAGAGATAAATTCTTTGATTAATTTGCTAAAGCCTGGGGGGTGATCTGGAAGTAAATGATCAAAGTCACATCCCTCAGCCCCTCATTACAATAGGCCCACCTCTCATTATAATTTTCATTCTCTTATACTATTTGTTAGCCAGAGTCAATTACAACCTTCAGGACACCTGAGGAATGTAAGTGTTGAATGGGTTCCATGGCGGTCTTTGGCATTCAAAAATGTCACTGACCCCTTTTACTAATAATGCTCATTCATAAAATAATTAATTACCCAGAAATGAAGTATCTTGACTACACATCTGGGGCAGGTTGGTGTTAACTTTATCCCCTAGTGGATTGATCTGGGACCCAGTTTCAGGGCAAGAAGCGTATAAAAGCAGTTTTGTGGGACTTTGGTGGGAAGCTCATGAAAGTTAAGGGTACCTCTTTGTAGAACTTTTTTAAACTTCTTGCTAGCAGTTTTTATTTCTTTTTATCTTTCTGAATTGCATTTTTTTTTTAGGCAATTGGGATTAAGTGACTTGCCCAGGGTCACACAGCTAGTAAGTGTCAAGTGTTTGGTTTGAGCCTGGATGTGAACTCAGGTCCTCCTGACTTCAGGGCCGGTGCTCTATCCAGTGCGCCACCTAGCTGCCCCCGAATTGCATTTTTAACTGCTTGGAGAAGTGCTTATAACTGAAGGTATTACATTATGATTTTTAATAAAAGGACTGTTTGACCCCTTGGGCTCTGGGTGATCCACTGTACCAGATATAAACTAATAGACTGGATTAGAGGGATGTCAAAGAAAGGAAGGGAAGCAGACCCCAAAGTTTTGAGACTGCTAAGTGGGAGAATATGATATTTAAAAAATAGGGAAGTTTTTTGGGTTGGGGGAATCTGGTTTTATAGGAAAGATAATGAGTTTGGTTTTAAACATTCTGAGTTGTGGAGAAATTCAGGATTGAAACTCAGGAAATAGGTCAGAGTTAGAGTAGATTTGGGAGCAAGTCACTTGGTGTCGATAGTCCAAGGCAGTAGTGTCAGACTTAAACAGAAATAGGGCAGTACATAAGGATCCCTGCAGATCACGCATTGATTTAGAAAACCACATATCAACATTACATACGTTCTATTGTAGTTTTATTTATTTTGTTAAATATTTTCCAATTACATTTTAATCTGATTCCCAGCAGTACTTCGGAGTATTGAAGGTCTAGTGTTTGACACTTCTGGTCTAAACCATTAGTGTTGAAGCCAAAAATCTAATTAGGAAAAGAGTATACAGAGAGAATAAAGCAAGGTTACTAGGACAGTTACATTTGAATATTTAAAGAGCTGTGTTAAATTTCCATTAAGTGAAAACCTAAACAACTACCTTATTAAATAATTAGCATTGACAAGCTATTTTTGATTCCTATTTCTCTTTTCTTAGCCTTTCAAGGCCTCATTTATTCAATGCCACAGGAATCTGGATAAGGTGAACAAAAAGCAACTTACCTTGTTCCCTAGAGTTGAGTCTTTTCTTTTTGCAAACAAAGACAAATGTAGATGAGAGCTCTGTGACCTTTGATTATCAGTTGGCTTGGAACCACAGTCAGATTCCTTTAAAAAAAATTTATTTTTAACATAGTATTTTTATGGATGAGCAATCAGTCAATAAACATTTATTAAGCACCTACTATATGCCAGCCACTGTACTTAGCACTGGGAATACAAAAAGAGGCAAAAGACAGTCCTTACTCAAGGAGCTCAAAAACAACATATAAGTAATTTATATAACTATAAATATGAATAATCTTATGCAACTATTGATTAATTGATGAAATTTCATAAGAAAAGCTATAAAAAAATAACAGGGGAGAAGGAATATCTGAAAGAAAAAAAGATGATATTCTCTAATGATTTCATTTAAGGAAATGGTGGACGTCTTAGATGGAGAAGTAAATTATAAATCCTAAGAGCATATTTTCTTTATAAAGTGAAAGCTCTCTTGCAAAATTCTGAAGTCCTGTTTCAACAGGCTACTAAAATACCTACTCAGAACAATACTTCCTTCTACACTATTGCTACTTTGTTACAACCTGGCTAATAGTTTTCATAAATAACCAAACTTGCAAAATTGACACTAGCTCTGCCCCAAGTAACTACTTTGCCTCAAGTAACTACTTTGCCTGTTCATCATGTTACCAGGCAAAAGAAAATATAAGTATGTATCTACAGCAAATATATAGAAATATTTTCACAAAGAGTTCTAAAATATTTCCCGAAACAAAAAAGTTACTTAAATGATCAGATTTCACTGAATTTGTTCCAGTTTTGTAACTTGATTCCCATGCCTCCCCCCCTCCAATATCCTTGCTTTTGTTCCCTGGGAACATGTTAATTTTCATAACATTTTGTACAATGTTATGCACTAAAAAAACCCCAAAATCTAAATCTAAATTCTCCTAACAGAGCAGGACAATTCACTGCAAAGAAAACTCTTACCAACAGAAGTCACAGGAAGGGAAGCTATAGCATTACTTGTCTCAATAATATTAGAATTCAGAGACAAAGATAAACCAAACATTTAAAAAAAGAAAGGCTGAGTATAAATTTCACGCTAATGAAATGTACCACCTTCCTTAAGCTGGAAATATGGGAAGGTGAGCTCCTTGAAGGCAGTTTTTTTTGCCTTTTTTTGCTTAGTACAGTGCCTAGCAAACAAGCAAACTTATCACATGCTTGTTGATTGAATGACTCTGACAGTAGAAAGGTACACACCTACATCAAGATGAACCAAAGTGTGAAGAGAAAAGAGGGTGGTGGTGAGAAGAGAAGCATATCTAGAAATGCTAATAAAACGTAAATGGATAATTTTGATTACGTAAAATAAAAGTTTTTGCACAAACAAATTTAATGTAGTAAAAATTAGAAGGGAAACCAGTAACTGGGGAAAAAAAGTCTCTGCAGCAAGTTTCTCTAATAAATACCTTGTATCTGAGATATATAAGAAACTGATTTAGATTTATAAGACTAATACCTATTCCTGAATGATAGTCAAAGGACATACAAACAGGCAGTTTTCAAAGAAGAAATCCAAGCTATCAACAATCGTAAAGAATGCACTAAATCATCAATGATCAGCAATATGCAATTTAGGGGCAGTTAGGTGGCGCAGTGGATAGAGCACCGGCCCTAAAGTCAGGAGGACCTGAGTTCAAATCCAGCCTCAGACCAAACACTTGACTTACTAGCTGTCTGACCCAGGGCAAGTCACTTAACCCCAACTGCCTAAGAATAAAAAATATGCAATTCATGCAACTTTGAGAATCTACTTCACATCTATCAGAATGATAAAGATGTTAAAATAACAAATGGTGGAATATGGGGAAACAAGGTGCATTAGTACATTGTTTAGTGGAGCTATGAACTGATCCAGTCATTCTGGAAAGAAATTTGGAACTATACCCAGATACATAAGACTCTAACACTAGTAGGTCTATAGCCCAAAAAAATCCAAAGTAAGTTAAAAAGGGTCTAAATGTAAAAAAAAAATTAGAGCGACTTTTTTATTTTTGGGCAGTAGCCCCAAATTACAAACCGAGAAGCTATCTTCCTTCTGGAGAATGGCTAAACAAACTGTGGCACGTGAACAAAATGAATTTTCACTGTGCCATAGGAATGATGAAATAGGCAATTTCAAAGGGAACTAGGTTGATCTTTACGAACTAATGAAGAGCAAAGTGAATAGAAACAGTAGGAAAAAATTAAATAATGATATAACATTATAAAGAAAAACGACACCAAAAGACTTGAGAACGCTGACCAATGCCACGATGAACCATGAGTCCAAAAGAATGAATATGAAGCGTGCCACTCATCTCCTGACAGAGAAGGGATGAACTTGAAATAGAGGAAGCATACATTTTTGGACAAGACTAATATGAAATCTGTTTGGTAGGATATAAAGCTATGTACTCTGGTCTTTGCTTTCTAAAAATCTGCTCAATGTAGGAAACTGTGAGGTACAGATTAAAAAAAACTTGTTAATTGAAAATGAAAATAATGGACCATTAAAAAAAGAAAAATGTTCACAGTGACAATATGGAGACATCAAATAAAACTTACGTGCCAGGTGAATCAATGAAATTTAGGTTGAGCATAGTTTTAACATTAGGTTTACTTTATTGAATTTCAACTAGCTAAGAAATGGCAATTGACTGATATGTGGCAATTAAATGAAATAGAATATTTTATTAACAAAAAACCTCTCTTCTCAATCATTCTATATAGAAGAAAGTATATTGTATCATGGAAGCAAAAAAAATAATGGAGTCACCTCAATTCAATTTGGAAATAAAAATGTGTAAAGTACTCTGTATACTACTCTGTGACCTCTGCTTATATAATTACCAGGAAAAAGACAATGATAAGCTTAATTGGAAACTGTACCAGACACACACACACACACACACACACACACACACACACACATGCGCGCATGAAAGAAAAAAAAAATGACCTGAACTATGTTCTTTCACAGAAGGATTACTAAAGACGACAAGTCAGTGAAAATAAATATTAAAGTTTAAGCCCTGTGGAATATCAAATGATAAAAACATCACGCATCCATCTGCACACAATAATCTTCCAACAAAAAATTCACACACACCTTAGTATCCGATGATTCCATAATTCTGGAAGCTCATAAGCTGTTCAAACAGGGAAGCACACACTAGTCTAGGAGGGATACTTTGATGGAATTACAATTTCATCCACATAGGGTACTCCATCTACCAATGGGGATCACAAACCACCCACACCATATCTTTCTCATCCCATGATTCTTAGTCAATATTTTTCCATAGAACAGACATACATTTGTATCAAGAAATGTTCTATCCTTCACAGAATCACCCAGAGGAAAGCTACAAGAGAAATGAGTCTTCATAGACAATGAAGTCATATTCTCTCATGGATTAATAAGAAAAGAAAGGCTCTTATTAAATGACATACCTCTGAATCAGAATCATTGCTTGATAGCTGAGAGAGCCTTGAGGAATCCAAACTGTTCTGTGATAGTTCCAAGCTTTCCTGAGATTGTGAAGAACATCCCATTTCAGGAATGGGACATGTTTCACCATCTAAATCATTACTGCTTTCTTGAGACAAACTGGACATTTCGTTATTATTCTTAATCAAAGGGGTTGAGGGTTCGCTCCTTCTTGCAAACTGCTGCAAAACTACACTTGGAGATGGGCTAGGAGTCCTGGAAAAATCCCGAAGATTTCCTGACCAACTGAAGCAACTTCTTAGTGTTCCTAAGGTGGGTGGTGAGATTGTCCTTGTGAATTTATTCTCAGAAGACTGAGAATCATGATCAGATGCTTCATTTAGATCATCCATATTCTGATCACCTGGATTCTGAGCTACATTTGTATCAGCAGGCTTCTGGCTATCCACATCATCTGATTCATTTAGCTCAGTCTGTATGTCTAAGACCGTAGTTTCACATAAAGGTTGACTGCTTCTGTTTTTTTCAGTGAAGTCAGCTGCATCCACAGAATTACAGAAGAACCTAAAAGATGAGAAATATGAGATCCAGCTAATAGCAAAGTTTCTTCTCACAGGATAGCAAAACTCATACTTACTAGTCCTAGGAAAATAACAATAATAGTGATTATGAGTCACATCCAAAGTTTGAACTTTGATTCTTCTAATTTAAATAATTCTAGGAGGTAAATACATTGTATGACTAGTTGAGTGTTATATTTTTACATCATAGATCTACAGTTGGACAGAACTGAAGCATCTAGTCCAAGCCTTCATTTTACAGATAAGGAAATTAAGGCCAGAGAGATTAAATGAATTTGTTCGCAGCAGTATTAAGTATGAGAGGCAGAATTAGAACTCAGGTCCTCCGAATCCAGAGTCAGTGTTCTATTCCCTGTACCATGCCAATACCTCACTGCGGCATGAAGACAACCCTAGGGTTTCAAGTTATTTCAGGGGAGTTTAGGCTCTGGCAGATTCTAGAAAGATGGAAAGGGTCTGAATAAGTGCCCATTGTCTCGTAAGATCAGCCTACCCAAGTTCAGAAGGTTGGCAATGGGCTGATGAATTCTGAGTGCTACATCAATTCACTGAAGACTAAGCCTTGGAAGGGATTATCTCTACTGATCAGGGGAGCACCCGCAATCATAAAATCAAGGACCATTTAAAGTGAAGTACAGAGAAGGAAAAAAAAACAAACTTGAGTCATTTCTCACAATTAATCATTTGAGAGGAGGGGTAGTTTGGTGAAAAGATGTGGAACTTGGGAGTCAGAAGATCTGGGTTCAGATCCTGGTTGATACTTGACCTATGTGACCACAAGCAAATCATTTAACCTCTTTAAGCCTTTGTTTCCTTGAAAACTGCAAATGGGAATAATATTAGTTTCACTGCTTACATGACTGAGTTGTTGTGACATTATTATTGTTTTTGTTGGTGGTGTTCCTCTATCCTGGGGCAACTGTAAATTTGTCTGGTGTATTTTGCCTACTTCCAATGAATAAAACAAGATATTTTTTATCTTATTCAGTATACAGTATTTTTTTTAACTCTCAAGTAGAAGACAAGAATTACTACAGCACCTGCAACATAGTAAGCACTTAATAAATTCTCTCTGTACCCTCCAATGTCTAGCCAGTGCTTTGCATGTGGCTATTTGAAGTAAGTATCTGTTGCTATCTCTATATCTAGGAGTAGAAAGACACCCCGGAGGCTATCTAGTCAATAACACCATCTACAACATTCCCAATATGTGGTCAAAAAGCCTATGTTGAAAGCAACCTGTTCCATTCTTGGACACCTCTAAGTGATCAGTTTTTCCTTACATCAAGCACAAATTTCTCGGAGACTTTTACCCTGAAAATTCTACTTCTACCCTCAGAGGTCAAACACAAGTCTGATCTACATTTCACATGACAATGCTTTAAATATTTGAAGGTAGATATCACACACCTCCCACCTCCCCTAAGTCTTCTTAGCTTCTCCCAGATAAGCATTTCTAGTTCTGATCCTTACATGGCACAATCTCAAGGCCCTTCATCATCCTGGTTGCCCTCCTATGGATATTTTTTAGTTTATCAATGCCCTAAAATGTAGCATCTAGAACTAAATAAACATAATATCACTCAGTAAATTCCTGTGGCTCCCAATACCTTTAGAATAAAATATAAACCATGGCATTTAAAGTTCTTCACAATCTTCTGACCTTTCTGACCTCACTAATCTACTTGTACTTTTCTCCTCTCTCAGAACTTTACAGTCTAGCCATAGTGTCCTATTTACTGTTCTCATATATGAGACTCCATCTTGTCTCTGTTCACATCTTTGCACTGGCTGTCCACCGTGCCCCCCCCCCCACCAGGAACGCTCTATAACCTCACCTTCACTTCTTAAAATCCCCAAGTTCCTTAAAGATTCAGCTTAAAGAACTTTTATAGTGCCTGTTCCATGAATCCTTACTCATTCTTATGTTTTCCCTGTTATTTCCCATTTATTCCTTACATAGCTTGTCTCTACATAGTTTTTTTCATGTTGTTCCCTCCCCCATCATTAAAATGTGAGTGTTCTCTCCACCCCACCCACTTTTTTGGCCTTTCTTTGTATCCCCTACACTTAGCAGGGTGCCTGGCACACAGCAAGGACTCAATAAATGCTTGTGACTGACATGGCCACTACCCTAGTTCAGATACTCATGACCTCTTCCTTGAACTACTGCAAGGGGCTCCTAATTGCTCTCATTGCCTCACATTTCTTCCTCTTCTAATCCATCTTTCACACACCTTTCAAAGACATTTTTTTGAAGTGCAAGTCTGACCGTGGCATTCTCCCACTCAATAAACCCAGTGGTTCTCTAATACCTCTAGGATCAAACTGAGACTCCTCTGTTAGGCTTATAGTCCTTTCCAACCTATCTTCCAAGTCTTCACGCTCTTGATCTAAAGTGATCTTCTTGCTGGTCTTTTTTTTTCTTTTTTTAAAAATTTTATTAAATTTTTAGGCAACTGGGGTTAAGTGACTTGCCCAGGGTCAGACAGTTAGTGTCAAGTGTTTGGTCTGAGGCTGGACTTGAACTCAGGTCTGCTTGACTTCAGGGCCAGTGCTCTATCCACTGTGCCACCTAGGTGCCCCCCTTGCTGGTCTTTACATAGGACCCTCCCCTCCCATCTCTGCCTTTGTACTACTCTTTCCCATATATGAAATGTAATCCCTCCTGCTCTCTTCTTAGAATCCGCTCAAGCAGATCCTCCCAGGGGCTAGTGACACCCCCATCACCTTGTATTTATTTTGCATACACTTTAATATGTATACTGTAAGTGATTTGGGGATGAGTCTGTTTTATCTTTGTCCTTGTATCCCTAGCTACTAGCACAGTGGCAGGCACACAGAAGGCATTTAATCAATGCTTGTTAGTGATTAACAGATAAGAGTTGAAAAGGTAATTGATTCTGTCAATATGATTATACCTGCTTCTAGTCCCTGGAACCACAACTGCACCACTTTCTTCGTTTCTCTTCTGCAAAAACGATGCAAATTTGTTTCTCACTTTAGGCCGAGTATTCGATGTTTCTTTACAGGAAATGGTATGTCCTGTGTCGGGGATGAATGCTTCAGAAAACTTCTGTGGCTTGTTATTTTCACAGTTCTCTTTCTTGGTTTTCTTAGTAATTGAAAATGAATACTGGGATAAGAGATCATCTTCTGATAGTTCCTCTAAATACAAACATAATTTATGCACTTGTTTAACTTAAAGCAAAAATATCCCATTGTAAAAAAAAAAGTTCTTAGAATGACTTTTTATTTATGACCCACTTCTAGTGGCTAAAGTTAAATAGATGACATAAAAAGCCCCAAAAGTTTTTGAATTTCACAAATGAGTAAATAAACATTTAATGCCTACTATATCTGCAATTACATAATGAATGACCCAAACAAAAAATCTGATACATAATTAATTTTGTACTATTTTAAAATGCTGAATGAATCCTTTAAGGGTACTCTGTTGCAATCAACTTTCCACACACAAACAAATGGCCCCATGGTAATGAGAAATCTAAATAAAGAAAATACAAACATAATAATTTACAAGCAAATGTGTGATTAATTTAAATGTTATGGTTTTCATAACAACAGCTTTGGATGCCATATGCTGCATTTTAAGTGTATTTCTTTAGAAGTACATGGTATAATTAGATCATATAGTTATACCTCCAATTTCAAATCTATTAATTTGTCAGTATTTAATTGTGTGCATACTGACCTTGAGTGGACAGTGAAAAGATGAGAGGCAAATATAAAGATAACGCCATCGGCTTCAAGGAGCTTATAGACTAATGGAGATGACATGTATATAAAGACCTGTTATCTCAATGCAGAAATAGAATGTGTCCCACCTTACACAAAAAGTATGATGGGAAAGAGGTAGAGATGACTTCTAGTTGAGGCAGAGAAAAGATCAGAAAAGACTTTATAGAGGAGGTAGCATTTAAGCCGAGTCATAATTCTAGGTAGGGTTTGGACAAAGTAGAGATAGGGAAGGCAGAAAAGAGAATTTTAGGCAGAGGGAACAGAGGAGGCAAAGAAAGAAATTGCCAGGCTAGGAGCTACTGTGGTTTTGCCTTTGTATTCCCAGCATTTGACATGCACTAGGGATTAATAAATGTTTGCTGAATTTAACTGAATAGTTGGAAAGATAGGTAAAGGCGAAATCATGGAAGACCTTGAAGGTCAAGGTAATACTTTAGACTTTATTCTGAAAACACTGAGGAGTCAAACATTTTTTGAATAAAGAAGTAAGAAGGATCAGCATTATGCTTTAGGAATATTAATTTTGTAACAGTGTAGGATGGACTAAAAAGTAGAAGCTACATTGTGCAGTTAAAAGAGCATTAGATCTGGAGTCAGAAGACCTAGGTTGAAATTGTGAATGACAGACCAGCTGTGTGATCTTGGGATATCACTTAACTGTTCTGAGCTTCAGTTTCTTCATCTGTCAAATCTGACAGTTTGACTAGATGATTGCCAAGACCTTTTCCAGCACTGATGTTCTATGACTTAATAAGACATGTTAAGGAATGCTTACAGTAATCCAAGCTACTGGGATAAACGGACTTTAAACTCGAGTAGGGGTAATGGGAATGCAAAGGAAGGAATGGATGCATGAGTGTGCAGAAGAGCAGAATTATCAGGATTTGATGATTGAATTAAAGAGTCAAAAATGTTTATATGAGGTTTGGAGCCTTTGAGAGACAGTTTGAAAAGGGGAAGAATTTAACATGTTGATAATAAGTAATTCTAATATGAAATCTGAGGCATTAGTGGAACATCTAAGTAATGTCCGATATACAACTGGAAATGTAGGAAGAAAAAAAGAGGAGCCATAGGAGTCAGACGGAATAATTAGAGGTGGGGAAACCAGGTGAGAGTTCAGCATCAAGGAGTTAAGGGAAGAGTTTCAGAAGAAAGGAAGTGTGGCCAACAGCGTAAAATATCGCTGAATTATCAAGGATGAGAACTGAGAAAAGGCAACTGTATTTGATGACTGGGCTATTACCAATGACCTTTAAGAAAGCATTTTCTTTCTTTCTTTCTTTTTTCTGTTGTTGGTTAGGCAATGGGGTTAAGGGACTTGCCCAGGGTCACACAGCTAGTGTCAAGTGACTGAGGCCACATTTGAACTCAGTTCCTCCTGACTTCAGGGCCAGTGCTCTATCCACTATGCCACCTAGCTGCCTCTAGAAAGCATTTTCAACTCAGCACCAGGGACAAAAACAAATTAATGGCAATAACTAAATCTCAATTTTGTCCCTCACCGGGAACAGACAGCAGTTGGCCCAGTGGACAGAACACTGGACCTGGAGTAAGGAAGACCTGAGTTAAAAAAAACCTCAGACACTATCTGTGTGATCCTGGGCAAGTTACTTAACTTGTCTGCCTCAGTTTCTTCAAGTATAAAATGGGGATAATAGTAGCATCTAATTCGTAGGGTTGTTGCAAGGATAGAGAGATAATATTTGTAAAGTGTTTTGCAAACCACAAAATGCAACATAAATGGCTATTATTATAGTTACATTCTACCCTCAAACAAGCATGAAAGCTTTTTACGTTTTTCTAATGGAAACAAGATATAAAAGTTTCCTCTTCTCTTTTGTCATTTAGATCCTCTGGAGAAAGAGAATGAGGTAGGTTTGGAAGCTCTGGTAAAGAGAACACCTGGCCCCTACAATCAATGAAAAGATAGATTAAGAATATATGAAGAACCCTACTCTGCCAGTGCTTCTTCCCTTTATCCCTTACTGGTTCTACCAATTTAACAAGCTCTGAAAATTAGATAAAAAGTGGGGAAAAGGTATGGGTATGGCACACATCATCGTTGCTATTTTTAAATATCTGAACATGTAGATGAGTTAGACACTGTTTAATTCTGTGAAGGAAAAGCCAGAGCCAATGTATTCAAGTTACAAGAAGGCTCACTCTGGCTTAATATAAGGAAAGGACTTACCAACAGTTAGAGTCATCGATAAAGGGAAAAGGTTATTTCAAAATAGTTAGTTCATTGATACTGGTAGTGTTCAAGCAGACACCAGATGACTCTATTAACAGGATAACTGTAGAGGATTGCTGCTTTAGATGGAAAGCTGAATTAAGTGAATTTTAAGTTCTTTCCTAACCCTAAGATTCTATGACTTTACAATGACTTCAGGGTATAGAAGTAAGTAAAATCTAAACAAATATTTCTGGATTATCTTGTGTTAGATTCAATTAACATTTGAATAGCAATTCTTACTATATGCATATGTTTGTGTGTGTGCATGTGTGTGTATTTATACGATGAAAGTTTTAGGAAAGCTGACTCTTTAAATAAGTGAGGATGATCTAATCCTAAAACAGATCTCCAATCAATAAACATTTAGTGAGTGCCTACTATCTGCCAGACACCATAAGCACTCTAGTCCAGAAGGAAATTACAATGAAAAACGAAGATTCGAGGAGTCAAACAATAATAAAGTTAATATATTGGCATATAGTTAAATGATGATACAAAATATGTTCGTTATTAAGATTTGTAAAGCAAAAGTAAAAGTTACCTGAGAGGATTTATTTAGTCGCTTATATGGTTAATAAGTATAAATCACTCAGGGAAAGAAAATAGAATGAAGCAGCACATGGGGCTTAAAGTGTAAAACATGCTGAGTGAAGTGAGCAGAACCAAGAAGACTTTGTACACAATAACAGCCACGTTATACAATGACTAAGATTCTTAAACTGAACCATTCTCAGCATTACAAGGATCTAAGACATCTCCAGAGGCCTCGGGATGGAAAATGCTGTCCACATCCAAAGAAAGAACTATGGAAGTCAAATCGCTCTCACTTGTTTTTACCTTCTGTTGAGTTTTGTTTCACCTTTCTGACGGTTCCTCCTATTGTTTTTAATTTTTACTTACAACTTCATTGATGTGAAAATATGTTTAATGGGTACGTAAATGTAAAGCCTATATCAGATGGTGTGCTGTCTTGGGGGGGGAGGAAGGGGGAGAAAAATTTTCAACTCAAAAGCATATGGAAGTGATTGTTGATAAATCAAAATAAATTAATAAAATTTTAAAAAAAGAAAAAAAAGTGTAAAACAAAAACACCAAAAAATAATCTCAAACAACTAGAGAAAAGCAACTAGTTACAAAAAAAAAAACCACAACAGTGAGGCTTTACCCTACTATTATTACTTTCTTTCTAGAAATGATGTTCCACAAAAGCAAAATACTTACCACTTCTTGGTCTTTTTAGAAATAGCTTTTTCTTTGGAAGATTAAGTCCCTTAGTACTAATAATTCTTTCGGTGCCTGCAGTAGTACATCTCTCAGGCAAAGATGGAGTATCTGAAACATCTAATTTAGGTGTAGGGCAATGGTTCCTATTCCAAATGCTATTCACATTCAATGGCTTCTGATAAGATCTTTTGTCATTCCACCCTTGACTTCTTGGCTGGTGAGGCTAAAAAGTTAAAAAACAAAAAACACAATATCCATGTGAAGGGGAAAAGGCAACTTAATTTCCTTCTGTGATCAATATAAATTATATGTAAAGTACATAAATTTGATAAATTACCCTTATAAAGAACAGCTGTTGAGGATACATCTGCCCTCTATTAACATTTTCTACTTTGGCAGTCCTACACTTTCCATTAAATATCTTGTGTTCCTAGGTCTGTTTCTCTTCAATGAAGTATAAGTGACCTTGATTGCTCATCTCTAAGAAATAAAGAACAGGCCTGCCTAAGATGGCAGTACAGAAAGAACTTGATTTTAAATGCAATTGCAAAAAGATGGCCCGAAAATGTTATTTTTTTTTAATCTGAGGAATGATTTAGATAAAATATGAAATATAACAACATTCTAATAATTTTCTGGTGATAAGCAAGTTGCTACTTAAACATTAAGTTCAGGTTGGAACAGATTTCAGAATATGCCTACTCTATTCTTCTAAAAAACTAACGTCATAAAGCAATTATGTATATTAGGTTTCCTCTTCTACAACTTCGCTTAGGTTAAACAAAAATTATTCTAATTATAAAATTGTTAATTCATGTTAAATTCACATATGGCACATTTCTATTCTCCACTATTAAACAAAAGATTCTCTTAGGATAATACACACACACACACACACACACACACACACACACACTGTATAAGAGAAACCACCTTACCAGGCCAGTCATTGGGTATAAACTAGTAGGATGACTTATAAATAGTTAGCACAATATAGTCCCCCCAACCTAGTCAGTAGGATGACTGGCACAGCACAATATAGTAGAAGGAGCACTGTGTTGTGAGTCAGCAACTCTGGAAATGAATTCCATTTCAGCTACTAAGGTCAGTGTGGAGGAGTGATTAGAATGCTGGTTTTGTAGTCAGGAAGATCTGGGTTTAAATCTCACCTCAGATACTTACTAGCTATGTGACCTTTTTCCTTAACTAAAAATTGAGGGAGTTGGATTTGATGGCTTCTAATTTCCTCATATGTAAAGTTAAGGATTGGGCTAGTTTATTTCTGAGGCATTTTCCAGTTCTAAATTTTATGACCCAGATTGCATATGGGTTTTACTGACAAAAAATGATTACGTACTTATGACAAAAGATTAAAATGCCAAAAGATAATTCTTAGCTTACAGAGTAGAGCTTAACTTATTGGAGGTGTAAAAGGAGAAGAATTAAGTGGCTTAATATATGAGGATAAGGAATTTTCTTTAGGTATCTGTGTTGGAAGAAGAGCAGAATTCTGGATTTCTGAATACTTGAAGACGCTAGGCTACTTGATGTCCTTACAAATTTGATATTCTGAGCCCACAAGGGGGAGAAAAAGATACTTTGGGGGTCTTGAGGCAAGAGTAAATCTTAAGTAACTTTTAAGTCCCACAAATGTCAACAGCAATATATAGTTGGAAAGGATTTTAAAGATCATCTAAATTAACCTCCTCATTCTGCAGGTGAGTCAGTGTATCAACAGCATTTATTAAGTGCTCACTACGTGTCTGGCCCTGTGCTAAGTGCTAGGAATACAAAGAAACACCAAATGCAGTCTCTGGCTTCAAGGGAGCTTATAGTCTAATGGGAAGACAAGACACATATAGGGAATAGAAAAGATAATCAACAAAGAAAAAACACTAGCACCAAGGGGAATCAGGAAAAGTTTACTGTATTAAGTGGAACTTGAAGGAATCCAGGGAAGGCAAGAGGCAAAGGTGAGAATGGAGAGTAAGGATACAAATTACAAATAAATTAACATACAGCTCAAAGTAATATAGGTAGGGACCTTTTTTGGGAGTGAAAATAAGGTTGCTCATGGGGACAGAAGTCAGTCAAATACGTGCTAAGTGCATGTTGGTCAGAGAAGTGGGAGAAGAAAAAGCAAAGTACAAAGTTATAGAAGACAAAGGAAATTTAGGAGTAGTTAGATCAAGAGTATCAAAGCCACAGAGAAGTTAAGATGAAGACAAAAACTCAAACAACTGTGGTACAGCATAAACCCAAGTCAAAAGTGATCTCAAAAACATCTTTGTTAATGTATAACATAACAATACGGTGCCTTAAAGATATTCTTTTCCTAAGCGTAGACAATGTTACTTCTATAAAAAACAATATGTGACAAATAAAACAAAACTGTTGACTTCTAATCCTACAGTAAAAAACCAAAAGCTTTTTACTGCCACTCAAACTTAAGGACTACTTTGGTAAATATTTACCAAATGAAGCAATGGTACACCTCCAGAAATTTATCTGAAATGTATTCTTTTGCAAAGCATTAAATAAAAAAAAATTACCATAGCAGTGTCTGGGTTATAGTCATCAATTTGTTCCATTGTATTTATATTTTTATTGCCAAGTGCAATTTGAAAGGCAGTGGTATCATCAATATATCTAAAAGTCAATCAGATTAAGGAAAAGTATTGAACCTTATTAACTACCACAGAAAATTCTATAATGCAATAGGTGAAGCTACTATCTGCATTGACTGTAACTGAAAAACCTATAAATATGACAAAAATCACAAGCTTAATATACACAATACTATTGCTTTCTTATGCCAAGTTCTTGTTCATTTATTGACATATGAGTGAGACGAAGGAAGCAGGAAGGAAAGGATATCCTGGAGAATGCTTTGTCAGGCTCTAGAGCCCTGAAGGACCATGTATATGAAGGTTCCTGAATGAAAAAGGATAGTCCAGGCAGGTGAAGGTGTTCTCTCCTACTGTATCCTCTCACCCTCAAACACTTTTCTTGGTCATCTTAGTTGTCATGCTACTAAAAACCAATCTTGCCCTTGATATGTATGAACTATATTGATAACCCCAGGGCTACATAATATTACCCTCAAGTTTGTCTTCATTTTAAAAAAGTTACATGTCCAATTCCAAGTAAATGCAAAAATGATTCATATGCTGGTGACAAGTGATTATTTATAAACCAAAAGTGTCCTCTAAAATGTTTCCCGAAAGAGTAACTGAAACAGATTTCAAAGAAACAGATTTATGTATTGAAAAAATAAAATTAAGACCTAACTTGTCTTATGCTAGAATGGTACAATGAAAGCATTACTATAAAAGAATATATAATAAATATACATCATATAATAAAATAACTATATAATAAATATACATAAAAGTATATACCATAAAAGAAGGACAAAGTAAAATTCCACTATTTAATTCACAAAGGATACAGTCCTGCATACTGTAGTGTCTCTGGATCAATGTCATCTTCATAGGCATTAAGGGGAACAAGTTTCCTTTTGATGGGATCAAAAACTAGCTGGTAAAGGAAAGTATTGTTGGCTCGAATAAATCCCTTGATATACTCTTCTGACACTGTTATATTCATCTTAAGATAGTGCCCAATTTTCTTGATAACCTAATAATGGACATCAAAATGTTATTTGTGAGTAATCTTCAATTAAACAACAAAACAACGCCACATTCTCCAAATACCTCTGAGGTCTTAAATGCTGTATTTTATTGTAACTCTGGGAAGGGCAAGAAAATAAAAATGACTTATTCCTGCATGGACAAGTCCAAATGACTGTCTACTGAGGTACAAGAAAAGAATGTAAATTAAACTAAAATGCTTTGTTTCATTCCTTTCTTTCTCAATGAGATAACAAGAAATTGATGAAAACTAACGTCAAAATGATAACATCTACCCTCAGTTTCCATTTCTTTGATAAACAAATTAATACTTAAAAAAAAAATCTACATCCAAAAGCTCTTAGGTAAAAAAGTCAACTAATCTGTTGAATCCCCAAAGATTATTTGTATTGTCTTAAATAGTTAAACTTCTTTAGTGGATAAAGAGACAGGTGAATTTAGTTGTTTTAGGGAAAAACTAACAATTCAGAATTTTTATAAAGGTAAGAGGAAATAGCAAAGAAAATAAAGGATTTGCAATTAGAAAGGAATCAATTCTACTCTTGATTCTACAGAGTTATCTACCTTTAGTCCTTTCCGTATTGGATGCCTCATTTTTTGAAAACAGAAAATAATACTTCATCTCAAACTCAGGCATAAATTAATGTTAGGTTCCTGACAACCAAGTTGAGATGCATTATATTGATAAAGATAATGTATGAATCTGAAGCTTTAAAAAAATGCGGTACCATGTTTTTCTAAAGGATATAAAGTCATTCCAATACATAAGGCCATTACCTATTGATAATACATAACATTATCAAGGGAAATGATACAGATCATCAATACACTGATCTGGACCTATGACTTCATCACTGTATGGAACTTTTCAGTCAGGAAACTCCCTCTTCTAATGTTCTACTAATTGCTTAATAATAGGCAAATGATCTGTAACCTATGGACTTAAAAAGTTTCCTGGAAAGGGGGTTAAATGACTTGCCCAGAATCAGATATAGGCTTGAACTCAGTAAGTCTTGATTCCAAGGTTCTATGTAGCCCACCACAATGCTCTTAGTTGTACTGGAACATTTCAAATTTATTATCCTTCAACTGGTTTATTCTATTACTGAAAAAAATAATAAACTAGTCTCAGAGACTAAAGCTTGAAGTGAGTGAAATGGTGCATACCTTTATAATATCAGGATTATTGGCTATTTTTAGTAGTTTGCAAGCCTTGGCTAAGCCAATTCCATGAAGTGATGACAGATAATCACAGCCTGACAGAATGCACATGTAACGAAATTTTTCTTCAGTGAACACATCCCCAAGCTGCCTACACATTCCTAGTCGAGCCTGATCAATTTCCAATCCATTTCCAAGCTTGTCCATTTTTAAAATTACCTTGAGTGAGGTGGAAGGAAAAAAATTGTTAATCTTCAAACAGCCATTTTCTTTTATGAAACAGGTTATCAACTAGTCATAAGTGATATTTTTTTTATTATCTTGCCTCCTGCAGTTATTTTAAGAATTCTCATTTAAACCTCATTCACAACACCACCAAAATGCAGAAAGGTAAGTGACTTGCTTAATGATACAAAGCTAGTGCCTTAGCTAGGACTAGAATCTAGATGTTCTGACTTATCTAATATTCCTTAAATCTCACCATGCTGATTCTCTTCTTACTTCATAGGATTATTGTGATGATCAAATAAAATACATGAAGACATTTTAAAGAACACAAATCACCATAAGATAAAGGTAACAGATCTCAAACCTTGAGGATTTATTAGGAAAAGCATCAAAATTATACTAATTCTCAAGCAAACAACAACAAAATTAAAGCACAAAGACCTATAGTGAATTTTCCTCACTAACATCTATAATAAATGCTTCAAGTACCAGTGTTAAATCAAGTAATTCTCTTCAATATTCATACTATCAACTTTGACAATAAAAGCCATCTTAGGATGAATTTTTAAATACCTTTTTACACCCAAAAGCTAGAAGGTCAGAATCCTCCGTGATTATAGCATGTACAATCCCAGTTTTATTAAGGTAGGCCAACTGTGCATCAGCTTCATAAGGAGCAACTATGCAATCCACTCCCTGGGACCGTGCAGCCTAAACAAAGAGATTAGTGTGAAGAGCTAGTAAGGTATCATGCACCTACCTCATCCTCAATACTGACTGTATCAATAACCATAAAAATTCAATGTTCAAGCTGTACTACATGATTTTAGAGTTAGAAGGGAGTGGAGAGGTCATTGTACAGTATATAGTAGTATAGTATATCTAGTATAATCCCTATCAAACCTAAGATCATTTTATTATCAGTCTAGATATCAAATATTCGTAATTTTTGAGACAGTTTCCTTCGGAGTAGAAATTGTCCATATTTGGTGTCTGCAGAAGAAAATTCCTCTCTTTCTCTATCACCAATAATTAAGAAATTAAAGCAATATATACGCCTGTGGAAAAGGGAAATTACCACATATATGATCTTTTTAAAAAAATTGAAATAAAAAGTTTTTTCTCATTATTCTATAAATAGAATAAGTAGATAAAAGGAGTTTCTTGGTCCCCAGATATTATAGCCCACTCTTTTCCCAGAGCACAAGACCCCAGACAGTCTTCTCCAACTGGACAAGCAGGTTTCAAAAACATCCCATTTCATTCAAGTTTTGTCCTAATCCTTAGAACTTATCTCTAAGGTGGTATGTTACACTGCTAATTTTTGTGCAATAATTCTAATCTGTCCTTGTTGCTTCAATGCACAATATAGAGCCTCACACAGATTAAGGACTTAATAGATATTTGTTAAGTTCAATTTTCTTTCTTCTTTGGACACCTGTCTTTGAAAGTCTGTTAGAAAAGTCCTTCTTTCCTAGAAGATGCTCCCAAGACATTTTTTATCTTCTTTTCTACTACATTCACCTTTCAACAAATTCCAACAGTTTATAGCTAATTTTAACATTAAATAAGCATAATAACCCGTTTATTAGCAATAGTATAGCTTACTTTAATTACTTGGTGGGCCATGTTATGTGTGATATTGACAGAACGGGCAAAACATTCCCTGGCTTCTGAAATTTTTCCCTCTCGAAGAAGCTGTTTCCCCTTTAGAAGGTTGGTTTGACGTCTTCTGCAGGTGAATATAATATTAGCCATTTTCAATAACCTCATTACACCAGGATGTGACATATGCAACAACTTGAAAACAACTTGAGGGCAGGTACAGTGTCTTACATTTCCTTTCAAAAGCACAATAGCACTACAAACAGCAGACATTCAGTAAGTGCTTTTTAACTACAATAGTCTATATATCTCATGGAAAAAAAATCACTTGATGTTATTTTTCTGTCAGGCAAGAAAAAAAACAAGACTCTAAATTAGTCAACCATTTTCCACAATGAATAATTTGCTATTTCTGGTAATGTTGCTGTTCCACTATTGATTGCTTAATTTGGAATTAAATTAAGCCCTGTCAATGGAGAACAACCAAAGGACAAAGGCTCCAAAAATCAAAATTGGAGAAATAAATGAAGCATGGCAGGATAGAAAAGGAAATACTAAAATACAGGAAAGCACTTACTCTCTTCGAGCCTTTTCTACTTCTTTTTTAGATGGTAAGGTACAACCATCAAATACCAGAATAGGCTTGATTCCATGAGATAGAAGCATATTTACAAATTTCATACAAAATGCTACATACCTGTAAGGAGAAACAAAATAGTTTAGCACATATATTGTTATATATTGAAAACACATATAAAAATTAAGTATTATTGAAAATAAAGGCTTTTTACTCAAAAGACTATACTATGCAAATTCATTCACACGTTAAGAAAATGATGTAAGATTACAAACTGTGTTGCCTCACAAAACAGTGAAAAGTAAAGGAGGAAAGAATATGTAGAGAGCTTGATGTTAACTAAACCAGATTGCTCCCAAAACATTTGAATAAATACACATGAAATGGAGCACATTTGTTGGCATTTCTATAGCAATATATAATCACTGAAGACAGTGGAACACATCAATTTTATACCATACACCAGACGTGTTAGTTATTTGAGGAAGTAGAAATGGCATTTAAATAAATGAAGTTAGTAAGAACAGCTGCAACTTACCAGATACATATAAGAAATTGTTACTAGGGCCAGCCTGTGTCCTGTTACTGCCCCTGAGAATGCTTTACTTCAGCCCTACTAGCTTACTTGCTGTTCCACACACACAACAGTCCATATCCCACGTCCATGCCTTTACACATGCTGTACTTCAAGTCTAGAATAATCTTCTTTCTCACTTTTACCTCCCTCTTCAAATTCCTAGTACCATTAAAGGGTTAACTGGAATGCCATCTATTATATAAAGCCCTTCCTGATCCTCCAATTGTTAATGCTCTCCCCCTCCAATTATTTTAGATTTTCTTAATGTACTTTATATTTACTTAACTGTGTACATGTTGTTTTCCCCAGTAGAATGTAATGTCCTTGAGGTCATGAACAATTTTCATTTTTGTCTTTATATCTCCAGAGCCTAGCATATTACCTGGTCCACAGAAGGCACTTAATAAATGATTGCTGACTTGAATTACTGAATGTAATATAAAATGCACTTAGGGATTGAAGATATCTCAAAGAATATAAGTTTTCCCTATCTCTCCCTGCACCCCCCCAGACAGTATTAAACAAAAAAATAAATGAGTAGCTAGACAGCATAAATGGATAAAGTGCTGAGCTTGGAGTCAGAAAGACCTGAGTTCAAATCAGACTTCAGATAGTTACTAGCTGTGTGACCCTGGGCAAGTCACTTAAATGCTGTCTGCCTCAGTTTCTTCAACTGTGATTTGGGAATAGTAATAGCAACTACCTTATAAGTGAGGTAGGTGCTATTGAGTTAATACTCGTAAAGCATTTAGGACCAAGCCTGGCACACAGTAGGTGCTTAATAAATGCTTGTTCCTTCCCTAACCTAATAATAAAAAAATAGACAAGCCTGGAAAGGCAGGATGATGCCATATTGTTGAAGGCTTTTAATCTTTAATGCCCTGAACAAGGAGTCTGAAACTTTACTGGGTAGGCAATAAGAAGTATACTGAAGGTATTTGCCCAGAGTAGTAGATCTTTGCATAAGAAAAATGATTTTTGTAGCCAGAAGGATTGGAGAAGGGAGGCAGGAGAACTAGGAACACATGTAATGTTGTGACTATGAAGCTGTTAAGAGCTGTGGAAAATTGTCCACAAAAAGCTGCCTGTTCTTTTCTCATATCTTCAAAGTTAACTTTGAAGTACACAGACACATTGAGAAAGGCAGCATGGTATAGTGTAAAGGTATTTAAATGGGAGTCAGGAGAGACTTCAGTTTCCATTTCTTACACTTTAGAAAAATTACCTTGGCAACTGGGTGAAAGTCAGATTATTAGCCTGAGGAGATAACTGAGGTAGGGAAACCAGTTAGAAGGCAATAGCAGTAGTCCAGGTGAGAGGTGATAAAGGTTTGATCTAGGGTTGTAACTGTGTGAATGGGAACAAACTGGAGTTTATGAGAGATGTTATGAAGATAGAAAAGACAAGATTAGGCAACATAGGGGATATGTGGACTTAGTGAGGGGGAAGAGCTGATGATGATACTGAAGATTCAAGCTTAGGTGACTAGGAGGATGGTGCCTTCAACAAAGAGCCCATTCAGTGTTACAACTTAAAGAAAATGCTACCATCATTTATAACTAAGAAATAATCACACAAAAAAAATAGATCAATTCATACTTACTGGTCAGTAGGTTCGCCTTTGGCTAACTTTTCAGCACAAGCAAAGGCTCCTTTGTGAAGCCAACAGTATGTATCCACAGCTACCACCTGCCCTTTATACTTCTTTATATGGATGGGTTCAGAAGCATCTTTGATAAACTGGAGCAAACCTTGTATCCCCATCCTGCCAGTTATACTGCATGATAAAGAAAGAAGAAAGTTAAAACATGGAAAATTTTAAAACATATGTTGCACTTAGCAAAAAAAGCTCACAAACACAAGAAGGACATCTGGTTGCCATTTAAAAAAAAACTTTTGTGGACTTCTGAAAACTATCAACCTTTAAATAGGTTTAAAAGGCTCCCTTTCCCAATCAGACTCTTATCAGTTAACATAGGGATGAGGACTGGTTCTATGATTTCCTTGTTAAAGGGCACTTGCCCAGGAGGAAACTCTACCAGGGCAGGTTGGAAATTTCTCTGCAACTAAATAGTCTTAGAGAGGTGCCTAGAGTGCTGAGAAGTGAAATCATTTGTCCACATCACCCAGACAGCATGTGTCAAGTTCTTCCTGAGCTCTGGGTTCAGACTGCCTCCCCTATAGCTGCAAATTAAGTATTGCAACACATTCCATTTATGTAAATATATATTATATATATATATATAATATATATATATATATATTATATATATATTATATATATATATATATATATATATTATATATATATATGTGTGTGTGTGTGTGTGTGTGTGTGTGTGTGTGTGTGTGTGTGTGTAAAGAAAGAATTTATTCCACATATAGTTACAGACTGGATATTATAATCTAATTTTATATTTATATTTTCACGATGTTTCCTCCTTGTCAGGATGCCTCATGCTACGGCATTTAATCACAATCAATGGCTTGATTGGTAGGTTTCTCTTCTCCCCACTATCTGATGGTGATCACACACTAAAAGGTACCACTTTGCATTTAATAACAACAACAGCAAGGCCTCAGATGGCTAAGGTCTGTAAAGGGCTTTGTATCATTAGACCCCCACAACCCTTAGAACCGGCTGAGGTTTACCCGGGGTCACGGAGTTAAGTCGTGACGCGGATCTTCCTGACAACAGGTCTTGCGCTCTATGCCCCGGGTCACCAGGCCTGCATTCACCCGTCCTCACCCGGCCCGAACCTCGGAGGCCCGGGGCCCTGCAATGAGGCATCGTGGGCCAGACCAAGGCACAGGGGCTGGCTCCCGCCCCCCGCCCCAGGGTGATCCACAGCGCGGGGACCAGGCAGTCCCTCTTCGCGCTTGTGGCTCGTTCCCAGTGTCTCACCTTCCGCCGCCCGGCACCAACGCCGAGGTTCCAGCCGAGGCTCAGCGGAGACTCCCTACTAGGCGCCCAAACGCCACGGCTCCGCTTTTCAATTTACGCGCGTCCCGAGCAGGCAGGGCGCCGCCCCTAACGGAAGTGACGTCAAGGCGCCGCCGGCGAATCAGTTTCTAGTTTCTCCGCACGCATCTCTTTACGCCTCCCGTGGGTCACTTCTCTGTTATCAATCTCCGCTCCTCTATCTCTCTCTCCACCTGGATCAGTTTTCTATTGATTGACTTCGGCTCCCTGGAGGATGTCAGGGGAGATTTCACTTAGGCCAGAACGAGACATCATTTAGTCTCTGTAGGGGAAATTAGCGCGCCAGAAAGACTCTTGAGTGGCCTCCTGGGAACTGTAGTTTTCGGCTGCGCTGGGGCGTCTGGTAGTTGTGGTTTCCCCGGAAAATCTTGGTCGGGAGAGTAGCTGAAACCTGGATGGAGGTGGGTGCACTTAAAGATGAGCTTGCAACGGCTCGTTTGTATTTAGTTTTTTTGTTTGTTTGTTTTTGAGCAAACAAACAAAACAAAGCAAAAAAAAACCCAAACCCATAAAGGAGTTGGTGCGCCACTGTACTCACGACTTTTCCATCTAGAAGTGTGTGTGCTGGTAAGTGTTTAACAGGCTCTCCAGCAAAAAAATGTACAGGACGCATTTTTAAGTTTAATCTGCATTGTTAACGTTTTCTCTACCGCTTTCAACAAAAATCAACAAAACAAAATTAAATCTTGCTTCGTGGTGTTTGAAAATTGAACAGTTGACTGCTGGTTCGAGCCGGCTCCAGCACATCCCTGAATACTGCCTGCACATTTAAACCATCTGTAATTTAGTAGCTCAGTCTTGGAAAAATGCTGTCGAGGCAGAACTGGAATCCAGGTGTCCCTGTTTTCTATCCACTAGGCTATGCTGCCTCTCTCTATGAGGTATACTGAGACTCTACCTTCAATTATCCAAAGCCTCAGGACCTGCGTGTATCTGCTGAGATGAGTCACATTAATGGGGCAACTAAGAGTTCACGTCAATGTGATTTTGTCAGGAGCACGGGAAAGCTGTTGGTTCACAATGTTTTATGGGCGGTAGGATAATAGGATTTAGAGCTGGAAAGGACTTTAAAGACCTAAACCTCCAATATAGCAGATGTGAAAACTGAGGTCCAGCAAGTTAAGGGACTTTAACCCAGGTCACACAGGTAGTTAATAGGAGATCTAGATTTGAACGCTGGCCTCAAGTCTCTCTTCACTCTAAGTCTGTGCTCCATTCAGCTGTCAAATTGATCATCCTAAAGCTTAGGTCTGACCAGGTCACCCTCCTATTCAATTAACTACATAGGCTCCCTATCATCCCCAGGATCAAATATTATCTCATCCCTTCCTACCTTTTCAGTCTTGTTACCTGGTCTCCCTCTCTCCCCAATCCAGTGACACTTGTTCCTTGCTGTTCCTTGCACAAGACATGCTATCTCCCATTTCAAGGCATTTTTATTGCATTTCCCTCATTCCTGAAATTCTTTCCCTCCTCATTTCAGTCTCCTATACTCCTTGGCTTCCTTGAAGTTCCAGGTAAATCCCACCAGGAAGCATTTCCTAATCTCCCTTAATAGTAGTGCCTTCCTTTTATTATTTCCATTTATCCTGTATATAACTTGTTTGTACGTAGTTGTTTGTATATTGTCTCCCCCATTAGATTGTGAGTTTGTTGAGAGCAGGGACTTCTATTTTTATTTTTTACTTTTGCCTTACTTTTTATCTCCAGTGCTTAGCACAGTACATGGTACATGTTGTTGTTCAGTCCTTTCAGTTGTGTCCAACTGTCCGTGACCCCACTTAGGGTTTTCTTGGCAGAGATACTGAAGGGGTTTGCCGTTTCATTCTCCAGCTCATTTTGTAGATGAGGAAACTGAGGCAAACAGGGTTAAGTGACTTGTCCAGGGTCACATAGCCAGTAAGTGTTTGAGGTCAAATTTGAACTCAGATCTTCCTTACTCTAGGCCCAAGCTGTGTCCATTTTGTTAGCTAGCTGCCCTACCTGGTACATAGTAGGTGCTAAATAAATACTTGGTGACAGATTTACTGAACCCTGATTTGACGATTCTGAATCTAAAATCTAGGGTTCTTTCCAGTGCAGCAGACAATAAAAAGCCAGATGTCTCCGTATAGTTTTTTCCCTAACAAGGAACAGGGAGGATGTTTTAAACAAAAAGGGGGCCAGTCCACAGCTTCTATCCCAGATAGATTAAAGGTATAGTAGCCAGATAGGCTGATAGCTTCCAAATGTCACTCTTGTATGAGATCTTCAATCCACCCTACTTCCCAGGGGCCAGTTGTATCAGTGAGCAAGTTCTTTTATTCCTAGAGCAACAAATTATAAATCCAGAAATTCTAAGGAGGATAAAAACTACTTCTTATGACCTATGGGATCTAATTTAATTGCCCTGCTTCGTGATTACTGATTATTTTAGGCAGTAGGGTATCAGATTAAGAGAAATATAAACTTAAGTGAAAGGTCTCTCAAAGAGATAATAGGCCATGGAGGCCAAAACTTATTTGGACTAGCATTAGCCTCTTGAACAATCTGAAGAGTGATATCTCCATACTACGGTAAATAGAAGAGGGTGACACAAAAAGTTTAATTGTGGGCTTGGGGGCTTAGTCATGCCATAGGCATGGCATAATTACCGTGATCATCCTTTATTATACTCTTCATGTGGAGGCATGAAATGTACTATTCTCCAGAAAGTTACAGTGTGCAGAGCTGATGGAGAACAATACTTCACCAGATGGACAGAAAGGGACAGTTCAAGGACTGTGTGAAATCTAACCTAAAGAAATGAAACAGACATCAATATGTCAATGATCCTAATAGCCAAAGACAGACAGCTTAGTGGGGAGAAAGCCAAGATGGAGAGGCTTAGCTTAATCAAAGGAGGCACATTGACTATCGAGCTGAGAGGTCCTTGTACAGTGAGTGCCAAGTCCTTAGGAAGTAGCTGCTCTCAAAATCTTCCTATAATGAATTCCTGACCACAGATTGGTCTTTCAGCCACATTTGCCCACAAGGGAAATTACCCTGCCAACAGCACCTTCTTAAAATACAAAAGACTAATAGATCTTTTATCCTGCCATTTAAAATTTAATAAATATGTTTACCAGACATCTGAGGCCAGTTCTTTTCATTGTTCTCATATATCTCATGTTAACATATTTTGTTGATAACTCCTCATTGTCCTAAAGGAATGTTGGAGTTTTAGGTTTAATGCATTCTTTTTTTTTTTTTTTTGCTTTTTTGGTAAAGTGATCAGGTTAAGTGACTTGCCCAGGGTCACACAGCTAGTAAGTGTTATGTGTCTGAGGCTGTATTTGAACTCAGGTCCTCCTGACTCCAAGGCCAGAGCTCTATTCACTGCACCACCTAGCTGCTCCTTAATGCATTCTTAAGTCTAAATCAAAGATATTTCTTTTAGAGCAAATCTAGTTCTTTGAGATGTTAAGTTGAAGAGAGTATTTATATATAACGTCTATGTATGTATATAGATTTTTTCAGTTTATATAATGATAGTTTGCATTTACATAACATCTCTCTCTCCTATCTCTCCTTACCCCCCATTTCCTTATCTTTGGTTTTATTTTAGTTTTATAATAGTTTATAATAGATATTAGGTTAATAAAATAGTTTAGTTTATAACAGTTATAATTTAGAATAGTTGATAGTATAGGTAGGGCAGTCACCAGGGAGACAGTGAGGAAAAAATGTTCTAAAATGTCCTGAACTCCCAGAAGTAACTCAGAAAATCTGGGTTCAAATCCTGTCACTGCCACTTCCTTCTGTGTGACCATACACAATTAAAAGCAAGTCTCTTACCTTTACTGAGCCTCATCTTTTTGAGCTATAAAATGGAGTTAATAATAGCTACATTGATGACTTCACAGTATTGTTGTGAGGCTCAAATGAGAGAATACATGAGAAAATGCTTTGCAAACTTTAAAATACTATATAAATTCCAGTTTTAAAGATCTGAAAACAGGAGTACAGAGAATTTAAGAGATGCATATGTAACCTATAACTATCTATATAGCTATTTGTTTGTACACATATACACATATGTATGTATCAGCCTGAGTTTTTTAAATTTCCTTACCGTTTTCCAAACTGCCAGTGTGCTGCTTAGTACTTAACTCAGTATGAAGGACTTGAAGAGTATCATCAATATTTTGAGTCATTGTTCACGTTCTTACTTATCCACAGCTAGATTCCATAGAGGCTGATCTTTTTTTTGTGGAAGGGAAAGGGGGAGTTAGGTTCTTGGTTTGTGGTACAATACTAAAATTTGAAGACAGTCCAAAGATTCCATAATATTGTTACATGCAAAGTTAGTTAAAAAAAACAAAGCAAAAAGATAAATAAGAGGATTTGTAGGGCAGTAATAATGTTCATCCTTTCTCTTCCTCTAGTCATTCAAAAACTTTTCTTCTGGTCTCTCTAGCTGTTTCAGTATGAACCATCTCAGTTTATTAATAGCTATTTACTTTCTTTTTTAATTACATTTTTGACACTGAACTTCATAAACACCAAGAAAAATGAACATTTCAATTTACAAAGAACATAGAGGACTATATATGAAAATACAAATCTTACAATGTAAAGCTTTTCCTTTTATTAGTGTGCATAATCAATTCATTACATTAGCTCCAAAGATGCTTCATTTTTCTGTTACTTTCTGGATCTCCTAATCTCTCATGTTTATTCTCTTTAAAAGTGCCATTGGTGTTGTTTTCTTTCTGCCCCCCTCCCTTTTGCATATTCTATCCTCCCCTCTCCCTCCTAACAACAAACAAACAAAAACCTAAGCTAAACTAAACCTCTTCTCCCTATCCACTGGCTCATTCTCAACTGTCTACAAACATGCCCATGTCTCCCCCATTCTGAAAAAACAACCCTTCACCTGATCCTTCCAATTCCACTTTCTATATCTCTCCTGCCTTTCACAGCTATACTTATCAAAAGGGTGGCATACAAGTATCTCCACTTTCTCTCTTCTTTAACTCCTTACAATCTAGCTTCTGGTATTATCATTCCATTGAAACTTCTCTCTTCAAAGTTATCAACAATCTCATAGTTGGGAAATCCAACAGCCTTTTTTCTCAATCATCATTTTTTCTTGCCCTCTCTGCTGCTTCTGACACTGTTGATCCCTCTCTCCTCCCTGATACTCTCTTTTCTCTAGGTTTTCAGGCCACCACATTCTCTAGGTTCTCCTCTGACCACTCCTTAATCTCTTTTGCTGGAAAAGGCCTCTAACTATAAGTGTCTCTCAGGGCTCTGTCCTGGACTCTCTTCTCTTTTCTCTCTATACTGTTTCACTTGGTGATCTCATCAACTCTCGTGGATTTAGTTACTATTTCTATGCTGATGATTCTAAGATCTATCTATCCTGCCCCAACCTCTCTGCTGACCTCTAATCTCTCACCTTCAGCTACCTCTGAGACATCTCAAACTAAATGTCCAGTAGACATCTAAAACTAAACATATCCAGAACAGAACTCATTGTCTTTTCCCCTAAACCTTCCCCTCTTCCTACCTTCTCTGTTGCTATAGAGGGCAACATCATCCTCCTAGTCCCTTGGGCTTGCAACCTAGAAGTCATCCTGGACTCTTCACTATCTCTCACCCCCATATACAATCTGTCACCAAGGCCTGTCAATTTAACTTTTGAAATATCTCTTGAATATTCCCCTGGCTCTCCTTTGACACTGCCACCACCCTCATTAACCTCACATCTTAGACTATTGCAGTAGCCTGCTGGTGAGTCTGCCTGCCTCGAGTCTTTTGCCACACCAATCCATTCTCCATTCAGCCACCAAAATGATCTTCCTAAAGCACAAGTCTGACTATGTCCCTCCCTACTCAATAGACTCCAGTGGCTCGCTGTTGCCTCCAGGATCAAATCCAAAATACTCTCCCTGGCATTCAAAACCTTTCATAACCTAGCCACTTCCTCCCTTCCCAGCATCTTACCCCTTGCTCCTGGCCATGTACTCTTCAATCTAGTGATACTGACCTACCTCCTTGCTATTCCATGGACAAGACATTAAATTTCTCATCCCTGGGCATTTTCTTTGGCTGTCTCCCATGCTTGAAATTATCAACCTCTTCATCTCTTCCTACTGGTTTTCCTGACTTCCTACAAGTCTCAACTAAATCATCTTATTCTTAGAAAGTCTTTCCCAACCTCTCTTGTTTCTAGTCCCTTCCCGCTGTTAATTATTTCCTATTTATCCTGTATATAACTTGTTTGTGTATATGTGTTGTGTTAGATTGTAAACTCCTTGAGAATAGGGACTGTCTTTTGCCTGTTTTTGTATCCCCAGTGCATAATATGGTGCCTGGCACATACTAGGTGCTTTATTGATTGATTGACATAGATACCTTTTCCCTCTACTTTAATTGTTATGTACAGAGAAATTTTACGTGTTCTTTTGAATATGATTTGTTTTTGTTTTTCAGAAATGTTTGTTTATGGGAAATTCTGGGTGTAGGAGGTACTGGTATTGGTCTTTGTAAAATGATGCTTTAATCACTAAGGAATCCCTAAAGAGTGAAGTGATCACTCTGTGGATGGAGGTTGTAGCAATATAAAGGACTTCAGTGATTAATAAAGATAACAGCCATCATTGAACAAATTTGTATTTGCCATAGCCTGTTTTTGGGGTAAAGTTTTATTGATATGCCTTTTTTGTGTGTGTTTATATTACAGTCATATCTGGATATATTCTACCTCCTTCCCTAACCACTGCCATTATTACTTAGTAAACTTTCTCTTGGAACCAAGAATGAATGAATCAATGATAAAGCATTTATTAAATGCTTATTATATGCCAAGGACTATGCTAAGAGTTAGGACACAAATGGAAAACAAGACAATTCCAATTCTGGGGTGCTTACACTTTAGCCAGCACATATAAGAAAGATCCATTTCAGGGCCTGTGGAAAGACCTAGAAGACTTATGGATGTTAGAGAAGGGATAGCAAAGTCTGGAGTCTTTAGTGTGCATCAAGAGATCAGATGGCAGTACCCAGGGATGTGATGAGTAAGCAGCAGGGAATATGGTAACCCTAGAGGACCGAAGTATGAAGTGGCAGGGATTATAGGATTTTAGCATCACAGATCAAGAGGTTAAAGGGGCCTTAGAATCGTCAAGTCCAACTCCCTTATTTTACAGGTGGAGTCATTAAGTTGAAGAGAGATGAAATAACTTGTGTGGGGCCACAAAGTTAATAAATACCTAAGACAGTATTTTGACATTTATCTTGTCTCCAAGTCCAGGGTCCTGAAAGTTTTCTAGTTCAGTGTTAGCAAACTCAAATGGACTTAGAAAACCACAAATCAACATTATCTGTGTTTTGTATTTGCATTTATTTTGGTAAACATTTCCCAATTACATTTTATTCTGGGGTGGGTGAGTTTGATACCTCTGCTCCAGCTCTCCAAAAGAATTATGGTTGATTGCTCCCAGATCATCTATGATGTGTATTTAGCTGTGTTGCTCTTCCTAGCTGTCCCGTATGGGGAAATGAAATAAAAATAATTAAGGGAAACCGAACTAGCTATCACACCTGAGTGTATGTAGCATTTTACTCCTATGGTTCTCCTCACTAACGAAAGGAAGGATATTTCCTTTTCCCTTTTCCTGGCCAAGATTGGTTGTTATGATTATGGAATTTTGTTTTATTATTCTTTTTGTTTAAATTAGTATAGTCACTATGTAGTCATAAATAATTTATTCAGTCAGTCAAGTAGCATTTATTTAATGCATACTGTATTCCAGGTGCTGTGCATAGTCATGAGGATACAAAGAAAGGCAAAAAGGGATTACCACTCTTAAAGAATTCACAGACTGATGGAAGAGACAAAATACAACTATGTACAAACAAGATGTATATATATGTACGTATACATATATACACACACATATATGTATACACATATATGCACATATGCATGCATCTATTTATATACACACATATATACATTTATTTACACACACATTTGCGCATGTGCGCGCGTACACACACACACACACACACACACACACACATATGTGATAAATTGAGGGTAGTCTCAGAGAGAAGGCACCAAAATTAAGTGAGACTGGGAAAGACTTGTTCTTTGTTATACTTGCTTTTGGTGTTACCTATTGAGATGGACTACATGCTGGGCAGGGGATTGAATTTCTATTATTTTCCTCTAAAATTATCTACTTGAGGCAATAGAAGGCCTGCTTAGCTAGGAGAAGTCTATATTCAATTGTCCTCACCTTGTGTAGTAATAATAATAATAATAATAATAATAATAATAATAATAATGAAAGCATTTATATAGCACTTGTTAAGGCTTGCAGAGCAATTTATTATTTCATTTAATCTTCATAACTCTGAGAGATAGGTGCTGTTGTCCCATTTTACAGGCAAAAGTTATGTGACTTGCCCAGGGTCACACAGCTAGTAAGTGTCTGAAGCTAGATTTGAACTTAGGTGCTACTTGTCTTTAAAAAAAAAACAAACCCTTGGGCACTAAAGTGACTTACTTTTAACCATTTTTATGTAATTTTCTTCTGAATCAGGTCGCCAACCTACATATCACATGTCAGAATGTGCTGTTTCTCTCTTTTTAGTGTAATATATCTGTTCTTTCTCTGAGCTGCTGTCATAAAATTTCCTGTCTGTATTCTTTCTGTTCAGCTATTTTAAATTCGATATTCACTTGACAGAGCCTGTTCTTCACTTTTGTTTCCTACAGCATGCTGGGTCTGGAGTCCCAAGACCCATGTAAGATGACCTATTATTGAGAGACAGTGCGGTAAAGTAGATAAAGTGTTGTGCTTGGAGTTGGGAAAGCCCGCGGCTAGCATTCTGCCTTCTGCACTCACTCTCTGTGTGACCACAGGTAAGTCACTTAACTTCTTTCAGACTGAGTTTCCTCATTTGTAAAATAGGGACAGCAATACCTTTATTTTGTACCTCATAGGGATGATTCTAAGTACGAAATGGAAGAATATGTATAAAGCATTTTGTAAAACTTGATCTGTTATATAAATGTCAACCATTATCAATGTTATTCTCTGCAGAAAGAACTAGGACCAGTGGTTTAGAGAAGACAGATTTTGGTTCATTATTAGGATGAACTTATTAACAATCAGAGTCATCTGGGAATGGAAAAGGCTTTTAAGTAGAATAAATTTCTTGCTTATGGAAGTATTCATGCAGAAGCAGTGGAAAAAACGTTGGATCTGAAATCAGAGTATGCCAAATCTGAGCTCTGCTGTCTAATGTCAGAATATACATGACTGAACCTGAGCTCTGATAATTAGTGTGACCTTGGGGGCTTCACTTACCTCTCTGGGTTTTCCCACCTGAAAAATAAGGGAACTTAGCTAGATCATTTCTAAAGGCCCATTCCAGCTCCAGCTTGCTGTGTTCACTCTACTCCTATAGGTCAAATCATTCATTACCTGGTAGAGATGAACTCTTTGGAAGCCATGTTAACTCTTTGAGGCCACTAGAGGTCAATAATGGCCTGAAGGAGTGAACATACCTTTTTCCTCCCCTCGCTATTTCATTGTACCTGAAAAGGTCTTAGTCATATAGTTGTGTAATTAATTACACAATTGATTAATTATTGTAACTAATTAATAGACTGTAATTAATAAAGTCTTGCCTCTCACCCGCTGTCAGGTAAGAAAAAAGAAGTGAAGTAGGCAAAGTACTTTATGTTACTTTCTTTTTTTTTTTTAAATGAAAAAGCCACAGGTGGGACTAGCTTGAACTTAATTGCTTGCAGGGACCTTGCACTTACAGATGTTGGACAAAACCAGTAACAAAATAGGGCTGTAAAAACCTGATTAAGAAAGGGTGAGGCAGGGAAGAAAGGAAGGACAAAGTAATTTTAAAGCAAAGCTTTTCATATGTAAAGTCAGCTGATTCAAATATATTTTCAATGAAAATACTGCTGGCTAGAATAGACTGCAGTCAGAAAGACTTCTCCCTTCTTACTGAGAAAATGCTAATTCTGGATAAAGCAGTTAATTCCTCGGGAGTGAAAACCTGAGCTCAAACTGAAACTCATCTCGGGTTTATACATAAATCCAGAGCTTTGAGTAGGGTGACATAATTTGAGCTGAGTTCCATGGACTGCTGTCCCTCTATTTGTCAACAGGCAATCACAGTGTCACGAGACTTATATGAAAACCAGGTTTATTATAAGAGAAATGAACTTGCATGTGGAGCCCAAGGGGTTCCCAGTCTTTACAGAAGTTTATACTTTTCTATTAGCAGGACAAAGGGGAGGTGGATACCAGGAAGAGTGTGACATGGGAAGGGGATTGGTGCTGCAAAGATGGGGAAAAAAGACTAGACTACTCCCCACAGGGAGGAGCAAGGTGAAGGCAAAAGCCTCATTCTTTTCCCTTAGGAACTGCTAGACTATGAAGATAGGAGGGTCTGCTTATCTGCAAAGGACCTCAGCTGCACAAGCATATTATCCCAGCCTGGGACGGACTGGCTGGCTGCTGTCTTGCCTCCAAGGACACATAGAGAATCCAGCTTTGGGGTGCAACAACAAATTATGTCAACTCAGGAGGAGCGTCTTCCTTGACGCATTCAAGGCCTTCTGCATGCTCTGGGTCCAAATATGGCAACTTAAAAGACAAGTTCAGGCGACCTTTTAACAACTCTTAACATATCTCACACTTCCACTGGCCTGCACCGTACTGTATAACCTCTTTCACTCTCCTAGGCTGCTAACACAGGGTCTTTATTTCCATGGCCTCACTGTCAACTCACTAGTTGGAGAGGAAAGATGGACAAGTTGCTCTCCCACTCTCTGGGGAATAGAGTAGGCCGTACTTTTTCCTCTGTGACCATCATCTTCAGACTGTCCTCTGAGCTCTATCCACAGGCCCCTTTCCTCCACTATGAAAGAATTCCTGATTTGTGTAAGCAAATGAAGATAGAGACAGTGAGATAATGGATGGGGGAAGTTACTTTGAAAACTATAAAACACTATAAATGTAAGATGATATCCTATTATAAAATGATATAACTCAGATTTGGATACGCTGTCTGAGTAACCTCACTACAACACTCTAAATCCTCGGTTTTAGCCAGTATGAGAGGCTCTATTCCATTAAAATAATTATCTTCACAGAAAGTACATTGAATATAGAAATATGAAAACCTAACAGCTGCATGTTTCAACAGCATTTGCAGACATACAAAAGTGTTGTTGTCCATCATTCTACAAGAAGACCAAAATGACGTCATTATGCTAGATCCAAATTACAGTGTGTCTGATTGTGCCTAATCAGACCAATACAAGCTCAGAGTGCTCTACCACAGGTTGGGCACAAATAGTCCACGTGAATATTTGGGGTGGATTCTTCAAATTTGTGCATCTTGTGTTTCTTTTGAGCTGTTACAATTCTGCTTTGCTTATAGAGCACAGCACCTTCTCTGATGAGGGCATGCCATGCTGGGCAGTCCTGTGCCAGTGTCTCCCATGTCACACAATCAATTCCAAAGCTCTTGAGAGACCTTGAGAGTGTCCTTGTATCACTTCTTCTCACTACCGTGTGAGCACTTGCCCTGTGTGAGCTCTCCATAAAATAGTCTCTTTGGCAAGCATACATTTTATTTTCAAACAACATGGCCAGCTCATCAGAGTTGTACTCTCTGAAGCAGTTTGAATGCTTCACAATTTAGTTCGAGAAAGAACCTCATTGCCTAGTATCTTATCCTTCCAGGTGATCTTCAGAATCTTCCTAAGACAGTTCAAATGGAAGTGATTCAGTTTCCTGGCATGGCGCTGGTATATTGTCCAGGTTTTGCAGGTATGCAACAATGAGGTCAGCACAACAGCTCTGTAGACCTTCAGTTTGGTAGTCAGTCCAATGCCTCTGCTCTCCCATACTTTCCCCTGGAGCCTCCCAAATACTGAGCTAGCTCTGGCAGTGCATGCACCAACCTCATTATCAATGTGTATGTTCCTGGAAAGTACACTTCAAAGTAAGTGAACTTATCCACAGCATTAAAAACTTCTCCATTTGTTGTACCTAGTGGTTCCATGGTGTGGTGGTGGTTGATGGAACACCTGTATGTTTTCTTGGTGTTAATTGTCAGGCTGAAATTAGCACAAGTAGCAGAGAATTGATCCATACTTTGTACCAACACTCCCTCCACTTTGGTCTTGGCTTATATCCTTTTCAAGTTGAAGAATTTACCGTCAGTGTGGTAGCTGACTTTGATGCCATGTTCATCCTTATTGAAAGCATTTGACAACATGGCTGAAAACATCATGCTAAAAAGCATGGGAGCAAGCACACAGCCTTGTTTCACTCCATTGGTGCCTGGGGAAAGTATGAGAGTGTTGTCCATTATCCAGAACCCAGACAAGCAACCATCATGAAATTGATGTACAATGTCAGCCCTCATGACTGACAGTATCAAAGGCCTTGGTCAGATCTATGACTGAAATTTTCCACATTATATGGCAAGAGGAGGTTATCCCTCAGGAGTTCAAGGATGCCTCCATTGTCCATCTCTATAAAGGTAAAGGAAATAGGTTGTCATGTGACAATCCCAGGGGGCTCTCTTTCTTAGTCATTGCTGGCAAGATTCTTGCCAGAATCTTCCTTGACAAACTGATCCTTCACCTGGAAGATGGTCATCTATCTGAGAGCCAGTGTGGCTTCAGAAAGGGCCAAAGAACAGTCAATATGGTGTTTGCTGCTTGTCAACTCCAGGAGAAATGCCAAGAGCAGAACAGACATACAGAAGTAAAATTGTAAAAAAGATAATAATAATCTCACATCTTGCAATATACCTGCCTGAATTGTAAAATAATTTCAAGTTAAACACATTCACATACATTTTTCTTTTAACACAGTATGAAAACTGTAGATTTATAGCAGCGTGAAAGCAGGGGTTATTAACCTGGGATCCATGAGCTTTTTCTCTTAATATTTTGATTGCTATATTTTAGTATAATTGATTTCTTTTGTAATCCTATGTATTTTATCTTATGTATTTAATAATATTATAATGAGAAGGGGTCCATAGGCTTCACCAGTCTGCCAGAAGGGTCCATGACAGAAAAGTGGTTAAGCATCCCTGAGTTAAAGGGTATAAGTACCAACATACTGAATAGCAAAACTTGAAGTTTGTCTTTTTGCATTTCATCTTATTTGTAAAAATTTATTTTTAAAATTTGGAACCTAAACACAGGATGAAATTGGCATTTCCATTTACAAAATAGAAGAGAAAGACGATTGTACATGAAACTGCAGATATCTATTATGTACAACTTGTTTTTAAAATATGTAATAAATTTAACATGCAACTTTTAAAGCTTTCCAACTGTATGCCTGCAATTCTTTCTGGTCTTCCTTCTAGAATTCATAACAACCCTCTTTTCTTCCTTTTGTTTGTTTGTCTGTTTGTTACCCAACTCCTCCCATTGGAGAAAAAAAAAGAAAAACAAAGCACTTTTAACAAATATGTGTATTCAAGCAAAACAAATTCCCACATTGGCATATTTTAAAATGTACGTAGTATTTCCATCTTGAGCCCATCACCTCTCTATAAGTAAGTGGGTTGTATGCTTCATCAAAGTTGTTTTTCTTTTTAATGCTGTTGTTATTGTAGACATTATTCTCCTGGCCCTGTTCATTTCACTGTGTCAGTTGATACAAGTCTTCTCAGGTTCTTCTGAAACCAAATCTTTTTTCATTTCTTATAGTGTGATATTATTATATTACATTCATAAGTCATAACTTGTTCAAGCATTCTCCAGTTAACTGGTACTTCCTTAGTTTCTAGTTCTTTGCTCCATCCAAAAGAGTTGCTATAAATAACAATTTAATTTTAACAATGTAATATAAAACATTTCCCTTCATATTTTTTGGAAAGCAAAATCACTAAAGCAGTCTTCTAATAATAAGCTAAGGAACTTGTCGTTTTCTCTGCACTGAGTGCTGCTAGTCGTTTCCAGTGAATATCTTCAGTAAACAGACTGACAGTAAGCTATAATTAAGAAGGGGAATGAAATAGTTTGAGCCCTCCTTCCCCCCCCCCAAAAAAAAAGGACTGGCAATTTTTAGACAGGCATTAAGAAAGTAAAAAAGCATAGCCTATAGCAAAACAAATAAAATTAATATTATAGGCATTATGGGTGCACTTACTGATCATGTATAAACATATTATACCGCAGAATGTAAGTTGTTAACCTTTTAATTGTTTATCTTATTACAAATTGGATTTATCACAGCTGAATGTATGAGCCTTTTTTATTAATTAGTCAGTTGCTGCAGTTGCAGCAGCTAAGAGGAAAAGATAACCCTAGACTTCTCTTTTGCTACCAGTAAATAGTTGTTCGTGGGCAGGTATCACCCCAGAATAATTCCTGCTACCCATCAGCTAAAGATGACAGCACATCAACTCTGCCTCAGTTCTTCAGTGGAGCTGTTGACTCACTGTGATGGGCATTCCTTCCTATGGCCCACAGAGAAACTCAGTCATGCCTTCTCATTCTGTGCAGCTCTTGCGCTTGTCCTCCCTTAAGGCTACCACCAGGAGCCCATCCAGGGTGCTAGCTGACTGTTTTTAGACACTGGGTAGACAAACTCTTGATCACACTAACATGAATAACTTACCTCCTTTTCCAGTCATGTGTCTCTTGGATGATATCCTTTAAGCTTTTTGAATCTCTCCATTTCCCATTGATTGACCTGCAATTCTGGTTCTTCAGAAAATGTGGCAGGGTGTGGTGGAATATGACCATAGTCATTGATGAGGGAGAGTCTAAAGACGGTGGATCTCTCTAATCTCAAGAGTTCTGAGCTTTAGTAGTGCTGTGAAGTTTGGGTGTTTGCCCTAAGTTCAGTACCAATATGGCACGGCTCCAGAAACAGGGGACCACCTGGCTATCTAAGGTGGGGCAAACTGGCCCCAGGTTATAAACAGAGCATGTTAAAGCTTATGTGCCAGGTACATAGTAAGTGCTTAATACATATTTATTGATTTGGCCCATGCATGGCTGTGATACTTCCGGTCTTACCAAGATAATGAGATCCAGTCACAAAAATAAAATAAAATAAAATTCTAGTATTGTGTGATTGCCAGCAGAATCAAACAGAATCAAGGGGAGGATATTAGCTTTAACATCAGTTTTTGTTTTAGATAGATCCTTCATATCCTTGACAATATTACTTGATTTCTAATGTCTTCCTATTGGACATCTTGAACTGGATGTCTCTTAGACATCTTAAACTCAACGTGTCCCAAACTGAATTCATTCCCCTCCCCCAAAACCTCTTCTTATTCTAATTTTCCAATTACTGTTGAGGGTACCACCATCTTCCCAGTCACTGTGACGTTTAAAAGTTTCAAGAAACATAGTTTCTGGGTAATTTAATAATTTTATTAATAAGACCAGTGGGTTATTAATAAAGGGATGGTCATTTGGCTGTCTCTCTTAAACAATCGTGGTGTCAGGGCTCATGATTCATATACCCTTTTCAATGAGGGGCTGAGAGTAACCCTGGGACAGAGAAATTATCTCTTTACTCAGACCACCCTCTCTTTGGGCTGTCTGGACAAAAGGATCTGCCTCCACCCAAGTTTGAGTAGAACACAATGGGCTTCTCTACCCTAGATTAAATTCCTTGCAAGATTGGGTCGGGGGTCTGACCAAGATGAGGATAGTCATTGCAGTCTCATTATCAATAATGTCCTTCAAGAAAACTGAACTTTTTAAAATGAAGAATTTAGAAAAAGGGGAGACTTCTGAATTTCCCCAAGATATTGATTATTAATAATCACTTCTTTCACATTCAGGTTTGCAATCTAGGTATCATCCTTGACTCTTTATTCTCTCCCACCTCCCCGTATTCAATCAGTTTGTCAAGTCATGTTGATTTTACCTTCATAACATCTCTTGTAAATGCCTCCTTCTCTCCTCTGACACTGCTACTACCCTGGTGCAGACCCTTATCACCTCACTTTTTGACTATTATAGTACTCTGCTGGTTTGTCTTCCTGGCTCGAGTCTCTTTCTCCACTCCAGTCCATCCTTCACTCAGCTGTCAGATTGATCTTCCTAAGGTGAAGATCTGATCATATCAATTCCCCCTCCCTTCAGTAAGTTTGAGTTATTCTCCATCACCTCCAGGATCACATATAAAATCTTCTGTTTGACTTTAAAGTTCTTAATAACCTACCTTTCCCCTTATTCAACCCCATGTACTCTGATGCAGGGAACACTGGCCACCTTGCTGTTGTTCACATGTGATGCTC